CTTAGAGGTTCAGGTGAGAATTATAAATGGAATTACCCACCATTTACCAAGTTTTACATGTTCTCTGAGAAAGCTGCAGCAAATATCTTCTAAGGGGTCACATCCTACTGCTGGCAAGAACACATCCATGTTTAAATGTTCATTATTATTATTATTGTTATTATTATTATTATTATTATCATCATCATGGCCAGCAGGTTGTGTTTCACAGCGACGGTGAGAAGTTCAGGGATCTTTGAGGAAACAGGCCTGTTTCCTGAGACGAACGTTGAGTTTCCAGTCGGGTTTAGACATAAACTATTACTCATCGGTATTCCAATGATGTCTTCAGTGCGATGGAGAGAGAGAGAGAAATAAAATAAAAGCAGACTGAAGCCTGCCATGTAGCCCTGCAGAAATCTGTAGTTTTTATTTACTATTTTTTCTGGCCTCTCTCCCGCCGCAGACTCAGTGGATCAACTTCGCTCGAGTCGTGTTTTTTTATGCGGATATCATTCAGGCGGTGGTGATATAGATCGCTCCGGTACCTCCAGAGAAAAGCTTTTCATCTCTGACTGTCCGTCTTGTCTTCCTCCCACTGCCGGAGCTGCTGATTCTGCAGCGGGTCACTTCGCCGGAGCATCGCTGCTCATCGCATGCGGGTTTTCATGGTTGTAAATCCCAAATCAGCCGTTCAGAATCAGACTTCCTCTTCACTCAGAGCTGATCGGTTTATTCAGATATCAGCTGCGTTGAGCTTCAAAGGTCTGCGACCTGCGTGGGTTTGCAGGAAGCTGAGTATTTACATGTTACGTCATTACAAACATGGTGGGATCTCGTTGCTCTCTGCTTTAAATGCTGATTATTAGAGCAGCTCTGCCATTAAAGACCATTATTCTATCAATTAATCTACTGATTAATTTAGAGATTATTCCATTTTGTCTTCTCCTCCAATAAAATCAAATGGACCAGTTCATTTAAGTGCATTTTATTTGTGAGTTTTGTGCTTTATGAGGTAAAAACTTTCCTTACTAACAACTTCTTTTTTTTTTTTTTTTTTCTTTATCTGGAGGTGCATGTGTCAGACAAGCGCCTACAGATTTCCTCTTTAGGTGCTCGTGCTGCTGAACAAACACATATTTTTTGTTTTTTAAAAGAACTCCCACATGTTTAAAGTTTGGAAACTTTCACACAAGTTGAACTCTGCTGCTCCATCCTCACACTGCAGCCGACCAATGACGCCACGACAACGACGTCGTGTTATGACAGGAAGCTAGTAGTTGTCCTGATATAAAATAAAATGTGATGATTTTACCGCATTTTCAACATTATCAACGTTTTCCCGACTTTCACGGTAGCTGTAAACTAGACATGTGACAAATTTAATTTTCAAATATAAAAGTACCTAAAAAAAAAAAAGTGTATTTTCTAGGGCTGGAGCCGAATATATAATTAATTCATGTAAATACTCTTAAACTTGTGTTCTTAGTTTCCTTGTGTTCTTCTTTTTTTCTTATATATATATTATGTATATCGTGTGTATAGCTCACTTCTTTATTGTTGTGTTTTCTTGTTTTCTTGCCGTCATTTTGCTGCCGTTGTGGGACTAATAAAGGATATTCTATTCTATTCTTGCACACTAGCCAGGCGGTATTTTGCGACACTATTGCACTGTTCATTGCTTTGCTGGTTTCTTGGTGTTTTCTTTTTTGTTTTTCTACAGTGCGTTACATGTTTGCGCTGGGATCTGAGAGAAACTTCAATCCCGCCTATATCCTCTACATATGGCAGAACAAAGTTGACTACTTTGGCTTTTTACTACCAATTAAAGATGGATGTGATGCTACCCGTTGGTTTTGCCACTTCAAGATACCCAACTTTATCGTCTTTTTCCGTCTAAATGGAACTTTAATTTACTAAATTAACACCGTGCTGTATTAAAAAGTCTTAAAACTATCCACTGAGACCATAATCTTAATAGAAACATGCTTAATGAGGTAATAAATCATAAGAGAAGTTGTTCTCATAGGCTTCCTTTTTGCAACCGGAGGAGTCGCCCCCTGCTGGCTGTGAGACAGAATGCAGGTTTAGAGCATTTTGCATTGCCTTCATTTATCCGTAACACTAATTACATTCCCATCAGTCTTAGCTTGACTTGGTTGCATCGTAAGTAGCTGTAAAATGTAGATTATTGTTTTATTTTAAACCTCCTTTGTGCAGCAGACTTCAGAAGCAGCTGGTGAGGTTGTGCTTGGAAAAGTGGAAAACTTATTTAATTACCATTTTTAACGAGTTTCACCTCCAAGTTTTCATATTTAGGAAAGTCTCCTTCGGTTTGCCAGGACTCCATTTGTTTCTCGCTGCCTGTCGTGAAATAGTCGTCATCGTTTATTTACCACTAATAAAAACGCCTCTAAACGAACCCAACCTTTTGTGTTCTGGTCAATCAACAAGCTCATTTTTAAAACTCTCTGTCTTCTCCCTGCAGGATATCTCTAAAGTCCAGAGAATTGTCACGGCCAGTAAATCACCCCTGAACGTCGGCGTAATGAGGAGAGAGAGCGGCGGCGGCGGCGGCGTTAAAGAGTGCCAGATGGAAAAGGTGAGCCTTCGGAGTAATTAAACCGTAACGGCCTGAGCGACCCGAGGGCTCGTATCCGCCGCCTTCATCTGTTCACCAAACTCAGGCACCGGTCCCTGTTCAGGAACCAAACAAGCCCCTCCCGGTCCGAGCGTCTTCATTAGCGGCATTAATTAGAAAACTTTGCACAAGATCTGCAACAGGTTGGAACTCGACCAGACGACGTCGAGGCGTCGACTTTCACACTTATTTTGTTTTAATTGGATCTTATTAACTAATTATCTCACTGGTGCTGAAACAGTTCATATATGAGCTCATAGACAGAAACAGAAGCACTTCATTAAGTCATTTACATGCAACAAATGCTAAATATTCACCAATATGTAACCTTAGATGTTAGAGTATTTTTTATGTGAGTATTTTTTTAGCCTGTCAAACACTAATTAATTAGTACATTAACTGACTAGTTGATTAAAAGAAATATAATATTGACACTGTGAGACAAACATTTTCTGAAAGCATCACTAATTATGATGTACATTTTAGTTTTTTTTAAAAAACCTATTTCTATATTTTATTCATGATTAATTGGTGAAATAATCAACAGACTTTTCAATATTCACACTTAAATTACAGCAAAATTAAAATTAAACCACATAGACTTTCCTGATCAGTTAATTGAGTCATTTATGGAGCAACAAATGCTAAATATCCACCGTTTTAACCTTAAATGTTAGCATTAGCTGCTCCTTTTTTTATTTTTTAAATGTCAAGCGTTACCTATTTACCTGTTTCTATATTTTATTAAATTAAAAAATAGATGAACAAATAAAAAATTAAATCAGTTAATTGAGTCATTTATTGAGCAACAAATTCTAGATATTTGCAGTTTTTTCAAGTATTTGCTGCTTCTCTCTTTTTATTGTTTTTAAATATTTTGACCAGACTAATTAGAAGATTAATCGATTAGTTGATGAAAAGAAATAAAACATTGAATTAGATTCTGTATTATGTTTAATTTGGACGTTTTTCTAAACATGCCAACGTGTAAAAGTGTAACTGATATTTTTACACAATTTTTTTCCCATATTTTATCTTTGATTAATCAGTAAATCAAATTAAATAATCAACAGGTTATCCGATCATGAACACACTGATGAAAGTGTCACGTGACCTTAATTATCACTGATCAAACGTACATTAAGCCGTATGAAGTGTAATTAGTCCAGCGAAAAGGCTAAATATTTGCAGTTTTTTTTCCCCATATTTTATCTTTGATTCATCCATAAATCAAAAATAGATAATTAACTGATAATTCAATAATAAGAATTCTGGTGAACGTGCAGAAAAAGGCTGCAGATGTTACTGTCATGTGGCCTCACTGGTTTCTTTAATTAAAACTGAAATACAGAACGCCAGGTTTTAATTCTACGCTTTTCGATCCTAATATTTGTTCTAATAATTGAGGATTGCAGATAATATTGATTCTTTGATTGTGAATCGAACATCTTTTTGTTACCGGATCTATTAATCAGACCAAAACCAGCCATTTAAGGACATCATCGGGGGCCTTTTTCAATATTTTCCGACTAATTAATTGAAAAAAAAAAAAAAAAAAGCATCTGACAGATCAGATGAAAATATGTTTTGGTCGCAGCCTTGAATCCCGGCGGCGTGCAGAGACGACGGTGGCGTTGGAAGTTGAAGTGGAATTGCACGGCAGAGTAATGTAGTTGCAGCGAAGATAAAAAAAAAAAAAAAAAGAAAGAAAGAAAAAAATTTGCACATTGACTTCAAAGAGCTGTTCACTCAGGGCCTCGCTGACACTGTTGAAAGCAGTTATTGAAAGAGGAGAGCGAGAAGCAGCCGCTGACCTCGTCTATTCACACTCCTGGACGAGGACTCGCTGCCACACACCTGCTTCTGCCAGATCCGGGCCACGCTCACTTATCGGGCCGGTGGGGAGGGAGGGAGGTTCTGAAATCCCGTCAAAACCCAGAGGGTCTGGAGGAGAAAGGCGAGGAAGTGAGCGGGGTCCACCAGAAGTTTCTGACAAGTGGCTATCAAGAGCTGTCAGCAGATGTACGCTGATAGACTGCAGGAGGAAATTGCCCCCGTGTGGGAAACTGTGTCAAAAAAGATTGTTCCTTAATGAAATTGTGCCAAACACGATGTTCGCCGGCGAGCCACGACTGATTATGTAATTTTGGCGAGGATGCGAAGCTCCTGCAGCAAGAAGGAGAAACATGCTGATGCAGATAAGAGGAGACATATTTGAAAACACAGACTCAGATATTGCGTTTGTGGCTCTGTAGGCGGAGGAGAGGAAATGAGGGAAGACAGACGGTCTTCTGTGAGCTTCTTGTGTGTTTCGCAGCCACAACATTAAAACCGGAGCGAAGGCGAGTAAAGCTGATTATGGTGCTGCTGCGGCGCCGGCGCCTGTCGGGGGGCAAAAGGTGCGCTCGGTTTCTGGGAGTTGATGTAAGAATAAGTTTGACATGAGCTGAATTGTGAAGGCTACAGAACTGGGTCAGAGCGTTTCCCAAACAGCAGGTCGGTCTTGCGAGGTATCCCCAGCGTGCAGAGGCTGCTATCCACGAGAAAGTAGTCCAAGGTAGAGCTCATGATAGCAGCACCGGCCCAGTCTGCAAGAAAAAATAAAAAAGCTGAAGAAGTTGTAAAAGGCCGGTGATTTCTACGAGCTGGATATTAACCCAAACTGGGAGCTTTTCTTCATCTGAACAGGTCGTGTTGGTGCCGAAGCTTAACCAAGTATTTCTGTATTCTTAACAAACAGCCACAGAACAGGTGGTTTCTAACTTAAACCGGGATCTTCTCCTCAACTTATCTGGCCCTAAACAGCGACAGAAAACCAAATTAAATGGTAACAACACAAGAACCACACAGTGTTTGAACTCCAGTCATGTGGACTTTGTTGCTCACCAGTCACATGGCACGAATGCAGAACAATGAAAAAAACCAGAAGGAAAGTCAAACTGAAGTCAGTTTTACGAATACTTTGTTGTGTTGTGGACCAGCATTGGATGGAAAGGTGTTGGCGCATCGTAGCTACGAGGCCACAATGACAATATTAATCTTCTCCTTGTGTTTTGGTCTGGAGGGAGCCTCAGACTGGGTTTTAGACCGACGAGGTTCTCCTTCATTCTCAGGTGAAGTCACAACAGAATCACAGACGTCAGAACCTGTCCGTATGCAAAAAAAAAATCATAAGGTAACAACACAGCATGGAGTGAGCTGTGCTTAGTTTCCTATTGTCAAACTGTGGCAGGAAGTCCTTTTTTCATATAAATAATACTAAAAAGTGAGTTTGACAACTGGATCATGAAGTGGTGGAAAAACGTGGCTTAATCGGACGAATCTCGTTTTCTGTGTTCGATCCAAAAGGGACCTATCTTGGAACTTAAAGGAAACACTACTAATACCTTCAGAGGTCTCGTGGACTCTACGTCTGGACCGTAGGGATCCTCATCGATTGATTACAGCAGCTGGATGCACTATGGGAAGCTGGTAGAGGCAGTGAGATGCTCTGGACAGTAGATGTTACTCTGACAAGCACCACCTACCTAGACGATGTTGTCAACCACGTACGCCCAGTCATGGCAGTGGGATTCCCTGATGGCAGTGGCTTCTTTCGGCAGAAAACCGCACCTTCAGAAATGAACCAAATTTCAATTTATTCGAGCATCTGTGGGATGTGCTGGAAAAAGAAGTCCGATCCATAAGAGATCCACCTTCGAACTCACAGGAAGTGCTACTAAAACCTTCAGAGGTCTCGAGGAGTCTATGTCTGGACAGTAGGGATAATAATTGAACCGATTAAAAACATATTAACTAATAAGAAAGAAGACAAAGATCATACGTGTTAGAAAATGTCCTGTAGACCAGCTGTAGTACCTGGTTGTTCCACCAGGTGGAGCCTCTTACTGTTAAATACTGTCGAGACCAGAGGAGGCGTCACTCAGACCACAGGAAGTTCACGTTAGGTCACCATGACAAAGACTTCTGTGGTGGTTAATGGCATCTGGACATATTTTGGGATGGTAGAGTCATGTGATTATTGGTTGCTAACGCTGCCGTTAAGAAAGTCGTTTAAAATACGCATCGATAGTTGACGGGGCGGAACTGGTTTTGGTTTGGTTTGGTTGGCGGTTTTTATTTTCGTGGTGCATGTTTCAGTTTTAGCTTGAAATGTGGCGCTTTTGACAAACGGTTTTACTTTTACACTCAAGATTCAGATTTAACTGATACCGAAGCGTTTAGCATGAGGTCGCTGCAGTGCACCTTAAAGCAGCATCGCAGCATCGCATCCGACATCCTTGCATCCCATCGACCATGTCGGTACTACTTTAATAAAATCTGAAGTAATTCGACCGTTNAAACAGCCACAGAACAGGTGGTTTCTAACTTAAACCGGGATCTTCTCCTCAACTTATCTGGCCCTAAACAGCGACAGAAAACCAAATTAAATGGTGAGTAACAGCACAAGAACCACACAGTGAATGAAAAAGACCAGAAGGAAGTCAAACTAAAGTCAGCTTTACAAATACCTTGTTGTGTTGTGGACCAGCATTGGATGGAAAGGTGTCGGCGCATCGTAGCTATGAGGCCACAATGTGAAGGTGAGTTTGACAACCGGATCATGAAGTGGTGGAAAAAGGTGGCTTAATCGGACGAATCTGGCTTTCTGTGTCCGATCCATAAGGGACCCACCTTGGAACTTACAGGAAACGCTACTAATACCTTCAGAGGTCTCGTGGAGTCCACGTCTGGACCGTAGGGATCCTCATCGATTGATTATGGCAGCTGGGTGCACTATGGGAAGCTGGTAGAGGCAGTGAGATGCTCTGGATAGTGTTCAGCTGGGAAACCTTGATTCCTGCATGATGTAGATGTTACTCTGACAAGCACCACCTACCTAGACGATGTGGTCGATCACGTACGCCCAGTCATGGCAACAGTGTTCCCTGATGGCAGTGGCTTCTTTCGGCGGAACACTGCACCTTCAGAAATTAACTAAATCTCAGTTTAATCGAGCATCTGTGGGATGTGCTGGAAAAGCAAGTCCGATCCATAAGAAACCCACCTTGGAACTCACAGGAAGTGCTACTAATACCTTCAGAGGTCTTGTGGACTCTACGTCTGGACCGTAGGGATAATAATTGAGCCGATTAAAAACATATTAACCAATAAGAAAGAAGACAAAGATCATACGTGTCAGAAAATGTCCTGTAGATCAGCTGTAGTACCTGGTTGTTCCACCAGGTGGAGCCTCTGACTGTTTAATACCGTAGAGACCAGAGGAGGCGTCGCTCAGACTACAGGAAGTTCATATTAGGTCACCATGACAAAGACTTATGTGGTGGTTAAAGCGTCTGGTCATATTTTGGGATGCTAGAGTCATGTGATTATTGGTTGCTACGCTGCCGTTAAGAAAGTCGTTTAAAATACTCATCGATAGTTGACGAGTCTGAAATGGTTTTGGTTTGGCAAAACCAGATTCAGACTTAACTGGCAAATGAAGCGTTTAGCAGGAGGTCGCTGCAGTGCTCCTTAAAGCATCATCGCATCCGACATCCTTGCATCCCATCCACCACGTCGGTACTACTTTAATAAAATCTGAAGTAATTCGACCGTTGATGTTTAATCGTTATTCCGTCTCCAGCTTTGTTTGCGTCTCAACAAATCGCACCAACAGAAACCAAAATGGCTCCAAGTTTGGGAAACGGTCGTCCTCGCTCGTACCTCGATTCTGTAAACGAAACACATCCCACAGAGGCTGCAAATGATGATTATTCTTTTTTAGTACGGGTGCTTTTTTTTTTTTTTTTTTCAAACAATCATGAAAAAAAAAGCAATCAGGAAGTGGTGAAAAATGCCCGTCTTCAATTCAAAGAGCTCCAGGTGATGTCTTCAGATTGCTTGTTTTTTTTTTCCCTCCATCCGGCTGTTCAGCGTTCAGTTTACCTTGATACCATAAAAAAATAAAAAACAGAGACGTGCAGCATTCCTGTGATGGAACCAGCACATCCCAGTCCTTCATTAATTCACTGTTAATTCAATAATAAATACACAAACTGTGAATCCAAACCGCTCATAACTAAGGATGAGAAGGATGAGGTAGTTGATGCTCAATTAAAACCTTGCAGACCTTATTTTTTATTTTATTTTAATAAAAGTCTGTGATGTTTCATCTCATCGATGTTTTCTTTCTCCTCCTTCAGACCGGCAGCGAGTGTTTCCAGAATCAGACGGAGGAATCGGCTCCAGAAAGTAAAACGCTACCAGAGTCACAGCAGGTGGGTTTAAAGAGACAACGCTGTGCTTTGACATGATAGGAAATTATTAATAAGTTAATTACAGGAAGAGTCTTTTTTTATGTTTTTGTCTTGTTGTCAACGAATCCCAAGAAAGACTTTCTAATAATAAAACCTCCTGATTATATAGTTTAGAGTAATTTCTTGCTGTTACTTTGGATTTTAGTGAAAAAAGGAGTAAAGGATGCGTACTATGGATTAAATACTGAGTATTTTCAGCCCTGCAAACATTGAATAGTCACAATTTTTGCTTTGTTTGTTTTAATTAAAAAAAACAAATTTTCATGGAATTTATTGACAAAAATATAAATTCTATATGCTATTTAAAAAGAACTCACTATAACGAGGAAATGTTCTTGCTGCTGGGATGCCGAAAAAATACAGTAAAATAATCATCACATCAGAATTATAATCAGAAAAATAATGTGTATTTTTTTGGCTTCTTAATATTTCATGAAGAATATTTACACGTTTAAAAACAATAGAATTATTATTATTATAGAACACCTTTGAATTTAAAAAAAATAGAATTTTTAGTTTTTAGTTTGAATTTACTTTATCATATGTGTTTTAAAAATATTTAAATCTTGTGATGTAGATTAAACTTGAAAGAATCTGCTGTTAATTTTTACATTCTAGACCTACCACTTACTTTTCTGTTAATTCTATATATTTTTAGGAATACATTTACAGTATAAAACATAAATTTAGTCGTTTTATGTATTAAATAAAAAAAGAAAATGTTTGTGAAATTAGGATTCATTTTGCTAATTTATTTGTTTTTTGATGTGGAAAAAGTAAATTTTATGATTATTCACAACTTCCAGGTTTTTCCATCTTGTTTTACGCTAAACATGTAGATTTGCAGTTTATTCTGATTTAAAATAAAACATAAAAATGTCAGAAATTACATCATCATCCATCATATTTCTTATTTAACAAAGAAATCTATGAAAAACTACAAAACCTATGCAGATTTTTTTGGTTATTATCAATAATTGCATCTAATTTTAGAAATAATTCATTCAATTTAACAGTTTATTTTATGTTATTTTTATTTTTTTAAACATGTTATTTCACATTAGACATAAATTAAAACTTTATTTTATGAATATTTGCCTTTATTTTAAAAGTCACAGTAAATAAACTCGTCAGTAAAAGCTCATCACATCGCAGCAGATTTGCCGTTTTGAAAATCACATTTCTGCGACTTACCCATGAGGATGAACCTGACTGGGCCACCAGCTGGTTCTGATGGAGTAACCGGGCCCACGTCTTCCTGACAAGCTCCGACCAAACAGAACTCTGTGTACAACAATCAGCAAACAGCCCCGCCGCCTCCATCGCAGCCCTGAAGGAACCGACCGCAGCCCGGCGGCGTCACCTGCGTCCGGCGGGCCGAGCCAGAACCAGTGCCGGGCCGCCTCCTTCTTACTGAATCGAGTCACACCTGTTTGTCGGCGGCAGATGGTTCAGCAAAACAATGCATCTCATTTCAATGCAGCGCAGAACTGTGTAAGTGAGAAAGTGCCTCGCATTCCAAGTGGCGCTGATCCATTTTTAGACTATTTGCAGAAGAATGTTTCAGAGGGATCCTGACGAACGGGCCCACTTTGACTTCACGGCTTTTGGTGCCAAGAAAGATGTTCAGTGACAGTTTTTTTTGTTTTTTGTTTTTTCTTATGTAATGAGACCGATTCAAAGCAGACGCGTTCTGATTCCGATCCAACGTAAGGAATCGGATCTACAGAACGCGTCGCTTGTTAACGGAGTCAAAAGCAGTTTGTTCCCTGGAGGCGGTTCTGTTGTTCTGTGTCAACACCAAATATAATCAGACAGAAATCTGTGTGAGCGACTTGAACTGTAGCAGAAAACCAGAGGATCTGACTTCATGTCAGGAACAGAATCAAAGCCGACGAGTAACGAATCAGGTTCAGCGTTATCGTTATTATCTCATTAACTAGTTTGAATTATAATATATATAATTCTAATAGTTTTAGTTGATTAGCTTTAATTTTGTAAACATGATGGAATGATGCAGAAACAGAAATAATCTGGTGTAACTCTGCACAAAGGTGGCGTTATTAGTTGGATTTGATATCTTTTTTTTGTAAAAAAAAAAAAAAAAAAAATTAAAAAAGGTAAATAAATAAAATAAAACATAAATAATAATAATTTATTAAAAAATAATAATTTATAAAGATTTAAAAATGGTCAAATTACTTATTAATTTATACCATTATGTAAAAAATAAAGAAATAAAAAAACCTATATATTATTTTTTAAAAATGTCAAAAATACTCTTATTAGTTTTATTGTATTTGGTTAAAATAAAATAATAATAATGATGATAATAAGAAGAATTTAGAAAGCTTTAAAAATACCCAGAATACTTTCCTAAAACTCAGAATTATTCTTCAGATTTTAAGAATCCACTGTTGTCAAGTGTAAACCTGAGACTGTGGGTATGTTTTTGGATTTTTTAATGTTTAATAAAGAATATTTACAGACGAAACAAAACAAACTATATCTGATGTAAACACGATGGAATGATGCAGAAATAGAGATAATCTGGTGTAACTCTGCACAAAGGCGACGTTATTAATTAGGTTTTATGTCATTTTGTGTAAAAATTGTTTTAAAAAACTCAATTCTCTTTCAAATTGCAATAATTTGCTCTTTATTTTACATCATATCCAGTGTAATGTGAGTTTTTAAACATAAATTTAATAGATTTTTAATATTAAAGTCGTCCTGTATCAACACAGGCAGACTAATCTGTGTTTGTGACTTTAGCTGTAGCAGTAAAACTAAAACCTTTATCTTGACTTCTTAAGTTTTTTCATAAGAAACAGAACCAAAGCTGACTGGTACCGGCCCAGTTTCATCGTCGTCCTTCTCTCCTCGTTAGCTGTCATTGTGTTGCAGCACCAGATCCTGATCGACTCCTTCCTTCCTGCTCTCCGTCGGCGTCCCTCTGGCTCAGCGCTCGCCGTTCACCGTGTAGTAAACAATCTGATTAGCGCTGATTTGCATTCGGGTCCCTGCGGATCAATCTGCATTACGCCGCTCCTCGTTTCTGTCGCTGCTCCACCTTCATGATGAGCTCTCATGTTCGATTTGTGAGGCTCAGAGCCTGACGGCGTCTCCTTCTCGTGTTCAAACGGTTTTTTGGGAAGAATCAGTTTCGTGGTTTCACACCTGCTGAGTTCCTGCAACAACAACAACAACAACAACAACAACAACAACAACAACAGCAGCAGCAGGCGGGTTTAGGAGGAAAGCGGGGCAACAGCTACACGTTTAGGTGGGAAATATCGCACAACACGCCCTCGTTTGTTCCCTGAGACGCTCAGCGATGTGGCCCGAGGAGGTTTTAGTTAAATTATCTGTAATGTCAACAACACAGAAGGAAACAACATCTACAGTCGTGAGCAGAAGTTTACATCCACTGGTAAACACCATGTTTGTCATCTGGGGTCTCCAGTGACTCCATTAACTCTGAATTTAAGGCGTCTTTGTCTCGATCCGGTATTTTGGTTCCTTCATAGATTTATTAAAGGTCTTCTGGAAATATGGCAAAAGCTGCTGGTTAATAAATAGACATTCAGCAACTCGAATGATCAGTTTTGGTGATGGAGAAAAGAAAAAGAATCTTGTGTTGATCGATTCTCCTGAGTGGTTCTGATCGACTCCAGCTGCTGACTCATTCATGATCCACTCATTAGACTCAAACACAACAGTGGGAAAGTCTGAGGAGCTCAGCAAAGATCTGGAGAAGAACATCAGTGACTGGAACCAGTCAGAAAGTCACCTGGAGCCATTTCAGAGCAGCTTCAGAACCAGAACCATCAGTGGGTCAGCATAAAGTTCATGGTCCAGTTGTGTTACTGCCACCATCAGGAAGGA